CTCTGGGATCGCGGTGATTGGCGCGAGCAAGGTGACCAACGCCAAGATCAACCCCGGAACGAACTCTACGCTGAAGGGAACGGCTTCTGGTACTGTGAATGATATTACGTTAGGTGCGGGATTGCTTATGTCCGGAACTACATTGAGCACTACAACTACTGTTGCAAATTTGGTACAGTTTACAGGAGGAATTTCTTATCCAACGTTAACTGGAATTGGTACAACGGCAATTACATATACGGCGTTTTCAGCGTATGTTAGATACACAAACCTCGGTTCGGACGTTCGGGAGGTTTGGTCGTATCCCGGAGGTGTTTATACTCCAACATGGCCTGGCGGGGCGTCGGAACAAGCTGTGTACGTTGCATTTGTTCCAGACTACACAACGATTAATACGACAAAAAGTTTGAAGATTATTGAATATTCTTTGTATCGAAGCTTTCCTCCCGACCAGATCGCGGAAATTGTATTTTATACGATTGCGACGCGTGATACAGGAACAACTTTTTTCACGACGTTTGTTTCGTATATGGAAGGTTATTACGGAACAACATATGCCAATAAAATTAAAATATTTTCACAAGGCAGTAGTCTATTGAATACGCTTGGATATAGATTGAAACCAGAAACGACAAATTTTGGTGGTGCGATCGGGCCGTATTTTAATTTAGCGGTTGGTTCTGCTGAAGTATCTGGTAGAAATTATTTAAACGATATTTTTTCGACCTATGTTATAACAGCTGATCCTGCAGTTCAAGGAGCTTCTTCAACGATGACTGTTACTGTGGCTGGTAGAGGAACGACTGGTAACGAAGGACAACAGTTTTTTAGAACAACAGGGTCTGGAGCAAAAATTTTAGGAACTTCAACCAATATAATCTACGAACCTGTTAATGCAAATTCGACAGCAGATTATGCTGTCGTTGCGGCAACTAAATGGACTTATTATAAATTAGTTGTGTTCCCCGGATCACGCATCATAGTTGTCCAGCCACATAATCAAGGAGCGTTCAATTCGGCAGCAACTGCGATTGCAACAACGCATATTTACGACACAGTTCCCTATAATACATATGATAGATGGATTCCGACAATATTTGTTGGTTACATGGCATTAGGAGGAAGTTTTAGTTTAACGAGCAGTTGGACTGCCAATGCCGGCCAATACGCGTTTTACGATAGAAATAAGGTTCAGTATGCTTAACAATTTAAAGGTTTGAAACCTTTAAATTATAATTGTTTATTTAAACACCGATTTTAGTTTTAATACCCATTGCATTAAGCTCTTGTAATAAATTTTTAAAAGAATATGGTATATGACATCGTTTAATATTTAATGATTTGCAAACATGGCATTTTTTGTGTGTGCTGCTCATCATGCCACAGTCTTTGCAGACATCTATTTGAAATGGGTCGCTATTTAGAAACATGCGTTCGTTTAAAAATTGTGTGGCTCCGTGCACCAAAACACAGTCTTTTTCCATTTCTCCAAAGCGCAATCCTCCACCGTGTGCTCTGCCACAGTTGGGTTGTCTGTGCAGTGTTGTGACTTGGCCGTGAGACCGTGCGTGCATTTTGTCCTTGACCATGTGTTTGAGGCGGTGATAGTAGGTGGGCCCCATAAAGATTTGGCTTTCGATTCGTCTGCCGGTAAACCCGTTGTACAATGCTTCAGAACCGCTGTAATCAAATCCGTGCTCTATCAACTGATTACACAAATCATTTAAAAGGGTGGTTGAGTTTTCCATAAAGGGATTTGCAATTTTAAATTTTTTTTGAGGTCGTAGTGTATATAGTTTACCCATCACAGTTGCAATGATTTGGTTAATCGTCATTCTAGAAGGAATACAGTTTGGATTGATGATTATATCCGGAGTCATACCGCTGTCGCTGAACGGCATATCTTCCTGGGGGTAAATTATGCCACATGTGCCTTTCTGGGCCATTCCGGAACAAAACTTGTCGCCGATTTCCGGCACTCTAAACTGAGCAATCACAACCTTAACAAGACGACTTCCATTTACTGTCATCGTGTCAACGATACGGTCGACATACCCTTCTTCTCCGTGTTGCACAATAACACTGCTATCTATAATTTTTTCTTCTTCGTTTTTAATTCTTATGGTTATTTTACCAATCAAAACATCTCCTTTTTTAACTTTTTGTCTAAGTTTGACAATGCCCGTGTGATCAAGAAGTCCGTAATTGCAGTCGCGGATTTTGACGTTGTTTGGCGGAATGTCTATTTTTTCTTCGACAAGTCCATTTTTCTTTTCTTCGGCTGTAAATGTGTTATATGTTGCTGTGCCAAATAGGCCTCTTTCAAGAGACGCTTTGTTGAGAATGACGCTGTCTTCTTGGTTATAACCCCCATAACACATTATTGCGACTATGGCATTGATTCCGTTTGGGTAATCGTTGATTCCGTTGAACTCCGCGACATCTGTTGTTACGAGTGGCTTTTGCGGATAGTTAAGGGTGTGAGAAATTGTTTCGGTTTTTAAATTATGACATGGAACGAAGCCGATGGCTTGTTTAACCATCGACGTGTAAAAACAGTTTCTAGCAGACTGCGTGCGGTCTGAAAACGGGATGATGCTGGCAACGATTCCAAACAGTCCGCACGGGTGGAGTTCCATCAGTTTGTAATCCGTGTTTGGGTTTTCAATTAAATCGGTAGGTTCGATTGCGGTTTTGTTGGCCATAATTTCGTTAATATCAACATATTTGATTAACTGGTTTTTTAAGCAAAAGTCGAAAGACGGGACAATTGTGGATTTAAATTTAGAGATTTTTTTCAGATCAAATACGGGTCTTATTAATCTGCCAGAGTCGGAAAAAATTTCAACAATTTTTAAAACGTGATTAACAACAATACTTATATTGTTGTCTTTTAAAAAGTTGAGCTTGTGAATTTTATTAATATGCACCGACAAACAAGGCGTGCCATTAATAAAAACAGGAAAACAGTTTGCCAAATCTTTTTTCTCGCAGTTGCACACAATCGTATGTTGGTTTTCAAATATTTGTAGTAAGTCTATAATTTCGCAGGTTGCGATTCCAACGGTAACCTCGCAAAAAATGGCCATGTTTAGCACCGTTCCCACTCCCTTGCCTTCTGGAGTTTCGACTGGACACAGTAGAAAGGCGCTTGAGGGGTGTATTTGCCGCAGCTCTGATGTCTTGGCTTCTTTCCCGTCCTTGCTTTCGGGTATGACAATCCGTCTTAAGCTGGAATAGTTTGCCAACAGTGAGACTTTCGGGTTCACAACTTGCGAGACCCCTGTTCTGATGTAAGTGTTTCTCTGAACCCCCCAGTACCCAGACGAAAAGCTGTACAGAATCCCTGTTGTAAGACCCGACGTGCGCAAAAAGTTTAAAATGTCTGGTTTGCGGTTTTTGATCTGCGACACGCATGATTTTTGAAACTTTTTGTACAACAACCTAAACAAAAAATAACACAACTCTCCTGCCGTTTCTACTCTTTTGTGGTTGTAATCATCTCTACTGTCTATTGATAAAACACCTGTTAAAGTCAAAAGATATTTTTTGATCATTAACGCAAGTAATTGCGCTCTTTGTTGTTTACTGGACGTGATTCCCAAATGGGGAAATAGATCCTGATCGATGCTCTTTTGGATATCTTCGATCGTCAGATCGTTGGAACAAGCGCCTTCTTTGTCGACACTGATGCTGACATTTCGAAACACGTTGATCAACGCTTCGGTGTCGTCCTCCTCTTCGGCCTCGTCATCGCTTTGTTGAGCAGTGTCAATCGAAAACTCTTCGAAACACGTATTTCGGATATTTTCAAAATACCTTTCGTATTCGTTCGGAAGGTTGAACAGATCATAAAAATCTTGACTCTCTAAATGATATCCCAAAGATTTGAATACGATTCCGACAGGGACATCGACACATTTTCCTTTGAGTTTGAGAGAGACGAGGAGCTTGCCTTTGGCCATTTTCACTTGGACAGATGTTGAGTGGAACGTTTCGTCGCACATGCTTCTCATTTCGCAAATGAGAAGGTCCTCTTTCTGAGTCACGGTTTTGACAAAGCACAGTGGTTTATTGTAGGTCTTGCGGACTTGACTAATCAGAACGCGTTCTTTGCCGTTTATGATAAAATATCCGCCTTGATCAGAAACAGAATGTCCATTTAGTTGTTCATTTTCTTTTAAAGTGTGTTTGCGCAAATGGCACGCATCAGACAGAAGCATAATCGGGATTTTAGCAATGGGAACTCGGTAATATTCGTTGATCTGCGGAATCTTACCCTCGTTGTTTTGAATCGTTTCGATTATATCAACACACACGTTCCCCATGTAACTCATGTCCTTGTTGCGAGCTTCCTGCGGATACAGCGGTCGGATGGTTCGGTCGTCATCTATGATGCTTGGGTGTTCCACGCAGATATTGGTAAACTTCAAGATATGACTGTCATACTTTGACGACTCGTATTTAATCGAGGGTTCATTGTTAATGATATTTTTTAGCCCTTTTGATATAAACCAATTAAAGGTGTGTAATTGATGTTGTACAAGACCTTTTTTTTTAAAATAGCTTTTGGTTATTTCGAGTCTATTTTTTTCTGACAATAATGTTTGCATTTTATTATTTAATTTAACGTTATTTTTAAAAATTTAAAATCATTTTTTAATGTTTTAAACAACATTAAAAAATTATATTTAGTTTTGACGGTTCGTACGACTTTAAAATTAAATGTTTACAGTTTTGACGGTTCGTACGACTTTAGGGGCCGCGACTTTTTCTTCGCCGTCATCATCGTCATCATCGTCGTTGCTGAATTCGCTTTCGGACTGCTTTTTCCACTGAGACGTGGCCTTTAAAGCCCACCCACCAGACCTTTTAATCATGGACTTGGCAACGTGTGGCTGGCTCCATTTTACGACCAATACATCATGAACCTTTACTTGCAATGCCAATTTTGAGCCAATAAAAATACTCTCAACCTTTAAAGATGCTATAAACCGTCCATATTTTTTGGCGATGGTTAATGGGTCATCGATGGTTGTATAATTGACTTTTGTGGGTTTTCCGTCAACCATGACTATTTCATCCCCTTCTTCTTTCTTTTCGGTTGGCAATTTTGTTCTCTGTTCTGTAAAAATGGTTTTAAATTTACCTTTTCCGTTTTCATCCTCGACAAACAGAATTTTGGGATATAATTTGGGTCCGTCTGTATGTCCAACTTCTCCCTCTGTCCAGGTTAATCCTTTCATCGAATCAATTTGGCCTCTAAATTTATTTTGAAACGGGCTTTCCTTTAAATGCTTTCTGCATGCAACAGCCAATTCTTCATATTTAGCCGCCCACTTTATTTCATCGACACTAGGATTGTTACGATCATACAAACACAATGAAATCTGATAAGAGCATTTGTTTTGATCTAACATATTTTGATTCAGACCAAACGAAAATACTTCTCGGGTTTCAATTATTAATGGCTTAATTTGATCTAAACTTTTGATCCACTTTTCCGAAAGATTCTCTTTAAACCACTTTTTAGAAATCAAGATAGTATAACGTTCGACCGGAATATCACACATCAAATTTGGATTTTCTCGACAAAGATCTGTGGCATTGAACACCATAAATTTTTGCAAAATTTCGTCGTTGTAATCTGGCAAGTCCTGATACAAATTGGGGTTAATATTATAGAGAAATGGTTGTTCAGCCAAATCAGAGTCAATGTTAAACTTGTACCAGTCGTAATCGATCAGGATTTGGTAGTTTCCATCTCCAACAGTTGAACAAATTTGTTCAACAGAGTCAACTTTTAGGGTTTCCAGTAGTTTTTCTAAGTCGGTCTTATTTTTTTCAGCAAGTCCAATCTGCGAATCAAAGTCGACAAGTTCATTAAAATCATAGAATGATTGTTTAATATTTTCGATTTTTCTGGGTTTCGGTCCAGTAATTGCAACAAAAATTCTGTTGAACGTGATATTGCTGGGGGCCGAAGGTAATTTGGATGGTAATTTAAACATGATGGGGTTTGAAAAGACTAAACGCTCAGCATTAAAGTGTTTCAAGTTGGTCAAAATCAAGTTGTTGTTGTTGTAGTATAAATCAAGGCGATTATAATTGGTATCTTTAATAACGATTGTATTGTTTTTATTGTTTTTTTTATCTTCCATTGCTTGTTTTATTAATCTCTTTTTTTTTAAAAAAAAATCAATTTTTTTACTTTGGGGCGACAGGTGGAGTGATTTTTAACACCTTTTTGGTGTTAAAAATTCTTGCTCGTCTCTCTCTTCAACTCGGGCTCGTGAGGTCACCGAACTCAAATAAAAAAATATTTCGCTCGTCTTTAACACCTTTTTGGTGTTAAAAATTCTTGCTCGTCTCTCTCTTCAACTCGGGCTCGTGAGGTGTGAAACCACCGAACTCAAATAAAAAAATATTTCGCTCGTCTTTAACACCTTTTTGGTGTTAAAAATTCTTGCTCGTCTCTCTCTTCAACTCGGGCTCGTGAGGTGTGAAACCACCGAACTCAAAATAAAAAAATATTTCGCTCGTCTTTAACACCTTTTTGGTGTTAAAAATTCTTGCTCGTCTCTCTCTTCAACTCGGGCGCTCTGCGCCCTACCAGATCCCGAAGGGATCTGGCGCCCGTGTTATTCTGGAACCTTGTAAACATGGTTAATCAACATATTCCAGTCAATATCTTTAAAAAGATCGTGTTTCTTAACCTGTTTTGCACCTCGGTATCCCAATCGTTCTTTTGGATTCGTGGTCAACAGACGCGAAACAAAATCTACAGCGTTTGGTTGGTTACGAGTGGTTCTCTGCACTTTTTTTATCAAAGATGTTGGCGAGCCAGCATTTTTCTCGAAAATGCCCTCGTCCAATAACAACTCTGAAAACAAAATTCCAGCCGACCAGAAATCGACAGCACGTGTGTATTCTGTTTCGCTTGACACTTCTGGAGCAATATAAGGGATTGTACCAAAGTATCCTCTGGCTTTTCCACGCTTGTTGGTTCTGATCGATCCTCCAAAATCTACAAGCGTTAAATAACCATCGTCCTCGACCATGACATTTTCGAGTTTGAGGTCTCGATAAATGATGCCGAGAGAGTGTAATGCTTCCAACGCCAAGATAAGCTGCGATATGTAGAAAATAGAACGCTCAAGAGAATAAAGGTTGTCAACAACCTTTTTTTCAAACAAATCGCCAGATGAGTAAAATTTCATCACGATGTATAAATGTTTACATGTTTCAAAAAGATACAGTGGGCTGGTTAAAAATGATTGATTTTTAATCAGCTGATTGATCATTTTCTCATTATGTGCATATGTTGCATTTATATCGACGATTTTTAGAGCGTAAAGAGTTTCGTGTCGCTTAGCCAGCTTTACTTTGCCGAACGCACCACTTTGCAAATCCGATGTAACCTCAAACTCCGCAATTGACGATGTTGGGTGTTCTTGGGTTATTTCAAACCACTGGTTCATAACTTCTGTTGGTTTGATGTTGTGTTGTTGTTTGAGTGCAATGGCAAGTTCTGCTATATTTTGTGTTAAAAGTTCCATATTTAATATTGTACTCAATGTTGTACTCAATGTTGTACTCAATGTTGTACTCGATGTTGTACTCGATGTTGTACTCAATGTTGTACTCGATGTTGTACTCAATGTTGTACTCGATGGTGTACTCGATGGTGTACTCAATGTTGTACTCGATGTTGTACTCAATGTTGTACTCGATGTTGTACTCGATGTTGTACTCGATGTTGTACTCGATGTTGTGTTCAATGTTGTGTTCAATGTTGTGTTCAATGTTGTGTTCAATGTTGTGTTCAATGTTGTGTTCAATGTTGTGTTCAATGTTGTATTCATATTTATTTATTTTTTTTATTTTTCGATTTTTAAAAATCATTTATTTAAAAGACTTGTTGGTCTCGAGGCAGTTATACCCACAAAAATAGATTTTCTTGTTTCTAAAAACCGTAGCAATTTTATCATCGTTGAGCTCTTTTTTGCACTGTGCACATTTTTCTAATTCACATTGTGAACCAGAACAGCGGGCAATACGCCGTTTTGATTTGGTGGGCTCGACTGTGGGATTAAGCGAACTTTTAAATTTTTCAATAAAAGTTGGATTGTCAATTTCGATTAGGTTGTTTTCAAGCAAGATTAACTCTCTTTCGATCAAATGCTCCAATTCGACGACCAAATCATCGCTATGCACATGTTGTATGTTTTTGACTAGTGGTTTGCTTGCATAACGAGTCAAAAACATTTGAATAAACTTCTCTGAGAATGGTCTGTTTGTATACGGGTTCGTTGGGACGTCTTGTTCCTGAAACATGGTATACAAACTGTAAATGTTAAAACAGTAGATCTCGTCAGTTGAGTCGTCGGTATAAAATACAATGTCCTCGTCGTTTTCGTTTTCAACGTCTTGGCGATTCTTACAAATTGACTTGATATCCGGGAGTTCCACTTGCTTGGCCGGCTTCGTCCACAAGAGGGGCTTTGTGGGTTTTCTGACGAGCGACGAACCAATGTACATGTTTTCGAAAAAGCTATTCACAAACTTTACTCTTTCATCTTCAAGCTTCTCTAATACAAAATCCTGTGTTTTTTTAGGAACGTTCTGTACCATAAATATTTCTGGTAATTTATCAGCGTCTGTTAAGAAAGGTAGTGTTCCCGGTAGATAAATTTGTTCGCGCAATCGTTTGACGAAGACAGAGCTTGACACAAAACTGAGGTTAATTTTCAAAAAAACAATCAAATTGGCAAGCAATCTAACAAATGAGTCGCCATCCGTGGAATTTTTTTGAATTGTATGCACCACAGTTTCAATAAAATCACTATTAATAGATCGATAAGATATAGGAACGTTTCCTTTGATCGCATCTTGAAGAGCGTTTGATAGCTCGTATTTAGCAACCAAAATCATTTCTTCGTTTGAATTGTTTTTTTTCAAATCATTAATATATTCAACCTTGTTATGATTCCAGACTCGAAGATACTCTAATTCTGTCTTAAACATGTCTTCGTCCTGTAATCTGATTCCCTTTGTAGAAGTATCAATTGCGACGATCAATCTATAAATTTCGGAATTTTTGATGATGGTTAAAATTGATCCCTCTTGAAATTTAGTGCTTAAACATTGCATATCATAATATTTATTTGTGGGTTGATAAAATTTTTCCTGATTATACACAATAAATTTTTTCAAATCTATTAATCCTTCAAAGTCTCCTTCCACCGGATGAATATAAATATTATTAACCAAATCTTTAACCCATGGGATCTTTTTGTATAAAAATTCACAATCTTTATTGGTTATATCAGTTTTAAACTCGGTTATCCGAACCGGTTTTTGAACTGGTTTTTGGACAACGCTGCCAGCAAATACCGGCTTAGTGAAATTGCCCTCCTCTGGAAACTCAACAAGCTGTGTTAATTGCTGCTCAGACTTCTGTTGCACCACATTATCTCTTATCTGCTGCAGCTTATTCTCAGTCGTCAGACTTTGATCTGGGCGCTCAGAAGAACGTGATGACGAAGACGAACGTGATGACGAAGACGAACGCGATGACGAAGACGAACGCGATGACGAAGACGAACGCGATGACGAAGACGAACGCGATGACGAAGACGATGAACTTTCATCGTCGCTCGTAACAGTTGCCCATATATCTCGTTTGAAATATTTTTTAAAAAAAATATCCAGTGGATATTTTTGATCCACAAATAACATAGCAAACTCTTTAAACTGATTTAACGGGATAATTCCATCTTCCAGTTCAAACTGAAGATGACGAATCATTTCTGAATATGCTGCGTTTTTGGAAAGGTTAATATATTCTGTTAAAATGGCCACCACATTTTCTAAGGGGATGTCTTGTTTTTCTAAAATTTTGCCGAAGCTGTTTTTTAAGAGGGTCAAATCGTCTTGATCAACGCTTAAAAGCCGTGTTCGTTCCAAATCGAACATCTTTTTGATATCTAACAATTTTTTTGACTTTTCGTTTGACATTTATTAATTACTTAATCAACAAAAAATAATTTTATTTTAATTTTTAAAGATAAAATATCTTTAAAATTTAATTCTCGTTCTCATTTTCAAATGATAAAGCAACAGGGTGTGCTTGGATTACGCCGAGATCAAAGTCTTTGAGATACAAACCGTCTAACGTTCTAACACGGGACAGTGCCGTATAGGCCTGCCCGTATTCGAACACATCTCTCAAATCAACAAAGACACAGTCCAAAGTAGAGCCTTGTGAAGAGTGAACGGTTAATGCATATGCTATTTTTAGCGGGATTTGAGTGACATACCCAACCTGTTTAACTGTGCCGTGAACAACAGCGTGTAAGGTAAATTGTACCGGCTTCACACAAATCTGGCCACACAAAAACTCAACAATCGGCAAATCGTCTGTAGTAAAACCAACCACAACTCCACGACTACCGTTTACAAGTTGTGTACTTTGATTGAATGTGAGCATCACCTGAGCGCCGAGACATAGTTGAAGTTTGTTTGGGGTTGTAGAATTTTTTATAAACGTTTGTTTTATATATTCAAACGACGTGGGATTTAAACTCTTGGTGTTACAAAACATCATGTTATATTCACGAAACTGATGACCTTTCGCAGCCAGCTTGTCTAATTCCCGGTCGTTTATGACAGCCACCGCTTTTTTGGTGCAGAAAAGCTTTGTGGGCTTGATGGTCAGATTTGGCGAAGGACTGCAAACCCTCTTTTGCAAAGTAGTTATGACATGGTCATCAACGATACCACGCCGTATTTTGTTCAAGACGCGTTTGAACGCGTCGTCTTGTTGCCGCACGATACACCTCAGCTCCACAGTCACGTCGATGCACTTTCGGAAGCTCTGCGAGGCGACAATCAGATCTGCACTGTCACTAACACACGGCAACTGGAACAGATCACCCGTAAATACAAGCTGTACCCCCCCGAATGGTTTGGAGGAGCCGCGAATTTTGCGGGCCAGTATTTCAAGTTTTTCAAACAGTTTTGGATCCAACATACTTATTTCGTCTATAATCAGGGTTTTCATGTTTTTCCATATTTCGAGTTTTTCGCGAAACGTGGTTAATTTATTGTACAACTTGTTAACATCTTCTTTGCCAAGGCCAATCCCAAGATACGAGTGCAAAGTTACTCCGCCGATGTTAAGTGCTGAGATACCGGTAGTCGATGTTATTCCCACCGTATTTTTTTGGCTGTGTGTGTTATAATAGTGTTTGAGGATCGCGGATTTGCCTGTTCCGGCGGGCGCGTGTATAAACACGTTGCGCCCTTCGCCAATCAGCCTCAAGACATGTGCTTGCTCGGGGTTTGGGTTAAACGAGTTGGTGGGTGGGTGTTGCTCGATGTACTTTTTCCAATACATGTGCCAAAAATGGGGGTCGGTAAAAAACATGACATCTTGATAAGGTAAATTGGTCAAATTTTCGAGTAATTCTAAAGGTAGTTTCTGTGCATATTTTTCCATCTTTTTATTTAAATTAATTTAACCAAATAATTAAATCAAATAATCATTTTTAAAAATTATCAAACAATGTTGCGAACGTCGCGGAGTCAGGGAGTTTGCTCTGCTCGTAAATTTTTCTTAATACAGCTAAGATCTGTTTTTAACTTTGTAAGTGAAATGCGGTTTTTTGCTTCGGTGTTGATACTTAGGAAATCTTCCTCCTTTATAAATGGGTTTTTAAGGGATAACCAAAAAAAAATTGCAGAAATCCATAAAGTGTTAATATTGTCGGTAAGCTGTTTACCTCTGATTGAGTGTATTCTCACAATTACCTGCTCTATTTCATCATAGTATTTAATTGAGATGCCATACTTAAAGATCAGTTCCTGTAGCTTTTCCTTATGTGTTGAAATGAACGAATGCCCAGAGGAGGGGTCGGGTTCGCGAGATTGCCATCTGAGTTCGCCCATCTGAGGTGGTGAAACCATCGAACTCGGGCGCTGAGTTCGCCCATCTGAGGCTGAGTCGTTGTCGCATACCAATCCCATGGTTTGTGAACGCATCGGGTACATTTTTTCAAACACTCCGGTATTTTCTTGCATCGCAATCTGGCACAATCGAATACCTTTTGCACCGTGTATTCGTGTAAGATTAAACTTTTCCAACAGGTTTTTAAAACTTGTGGGTCTTTTTAGGTAATAGTACGCGTAATACAAAGATGCGCAAAGTATTGACTTTCTGTTGGTACCTTTGACGGTTTTCGTCTTGGTTGTTAGAATAAAAATTTTTTCAGCAATCTTAAGAACTGATACATCAACAATTCCATAATCTTGCTCTAACACAATCCAGGTTGAAGACTTTTGCGGACCTTGAGTACATTGTGTCACGACAAATTTATCTACATACAACTTTTTCTCAAAATGAATTGAACAATCAACACATGTTGAGGTTCCATTATCCTCGAGTATTAAATTTTTATGATTACACATTTTAATTTGTTTATTTAACCTTTTTTTAAAATCATTTTAAAATGATTTTAAGATGTGAGAAGCGCGTAAAATTGTGAGATTGGGTTAGATTGCAGTTAATAAATGAAAGATAAGAAAAAATTGGTGTTGTTGGATCTAGACAACACTCTGATATGTGCTGAAGATTTGAATGCCCCTTTTGATTTGAGTAAAATGGAAAAGGCCCGACAAACGTTTAAAACTGTTAGAATGCAAGATTATTATGACATTTTTGAAAGACCTCATTTGCAAAAGTTTTTAGACTACCTGTTCAAACATTTTAAGGTTGGAGTGTGGACTGCTTCTTCAAAAGAGTATGCAATTTTTATAGTTAAAAATTTTATCACCCATCCAAATAATGAACATAAACAGGAACGCCACATTGACCTTTTTTTATGTTCACATCATTGTAACGTATCCAAAAAATTTTTCAAAGGAACACCAAAAGATTTACATCTAATCAGCGACAAATGGCAACTAGAAGATATTCAAAACCTTCTTTTAATAGACGATTTAGAAGAACTTGCAAAACCTCAGCCCGACAATGTAATTGTTGTTAAACCATTTATGTACGACCGAGACGACGCATATAATGATACCGAGCTTTTGAAGACAAAAAAAAAATTAAAAACTTACTAAATAAATGAAACATCGGTTGATTTTATTTAGTTGTCTACTATTAGTTGTCAACGGTTGGCACTTTGCCACAACAGACGAAGAATGTGACGAACAAAGCCGCTGCGCACCTTGGCTAACGTGTGTCGATGGTAAGTGCACACGATGTAAAAAAGCTGGAGTCGCTTGCGATCCAAGCGACGGAACCTGGGGATGCTGCAAAGGATTAACATGTACCAAAGTCCCCGGCCTAAATTCTAGCATTTGCGAGGTTTCCAGCAAATGCACCAAAGATCAAGGCTGTCAGTTCGGCTTAAAATGTGTGCAGCGGCTTGGAGAGTGTGGGGTGTGCAAAAGCGATTATTCGTTTTGTACATTGCCGTACGACTCCGGCGAGTGCTGTAGTAACTATTGCTCCATCTTCCCAGATCATCCCG